CCGCCTTCCTCTTCGGCCACCGCTGGCCTCCCCTGGAGCCGTCTGTGTTTTCTGGGTGCCGGTTTTTGTTACTGACATCACATACACACACACACAGTTTGTGATTTTGGTATTTACTGATAAAATTTGTAGAAGCCTTTTTTTTCCCCCCCTCCCAAAAGCCTGTAGAAAGCACAGAAGCACCTGAAAAGGGCTGTGTCGGCTCCACACCTCACCAGGCGTCCACCATCTTTGCCTGCTCCCTCATGGCGGGCAGCAGCAGCAGCCACCACACCTCTCTGTCCCTGTCATCACCAGAGGACGACAAATATAATACCTTCAGGTGGAAGTGTGTGTGTGGAGGAGAGACCACCACATGGGTCTTCAAGTGTGACTACCAGATATAAATTTCAAGTATTTTACGTGACTTTTCCCAGCTTTTAGCATTTCTCCCTGGGGGAGAAAACACCTGGCCTTCAGGTTTCTGCTGCTGAAGGTGTCGCCATTGACAAGGACAACCACGGTTGCTGACAGCAGTGCAGAACCCGAGGCATTCGTTTGTTAGCTTTAATTTGTGATTTTTCTAAGTGTTACAAGTCATAGGTGAGGGGAACTGCTAAATGTAAAAGCCAAACAGTTTTGTGACACCAACACTCTGAGTCACTGAAAATGCTGTAAAATATTCAGCATAATAGATACTGAGAAAGTGTGTTTTTGCAGAAATCAGGAACACATGAGATTTTATTAATCCCATCTCAGAAACAACAGAACATTGCTATTTTTTAAGATTTCATTTCAATGGACTCAGTTGAACCAGTTACACCACAAGCTTTCTTGAAGCTGGTAACTGAATGATGATTACTCACAAAGAAAGTTTCTGTGACATGAATCTTAGTTAAATGAATGTTTCACTTACGAAGCCTCTCCAAGAATCTTGAAGGACTCAGTGAACTTTCACAGACGTCACTTGGGATGTGATTTTCCATCCCTATTTTACAAAGAAATTACAGATTAAGCTGTTTATTCCTACTGAAAAGTGGGATTAGATGTGAAATAGTTTGAGAGTAAAGCATACACCACCCCCGGCCTTCAATCCACGGTCCCTTTTGGGATAAAATGCCTTTCTTTTTCCCCTAACTGATCCCAGCCGGAACGCTGTCTCAGCTGCTAGCTTCTGCCTTTAAGGTACTCGCCAAAGAGTGATGCCAGTAATATCAGCGTCAGAAATGGCAGTGGGCAATTGTCTACTTTGCTCTTTGTAGGTTGCCCTACATTGTAGATTGCACAGCAGCTTAACTATCTGGATGGTTTTCTGTTTGCTTCTTTTAAAGCATACAGGTGCATAGACAACTACATGATCAGGAGATTCAGTACAAGCAAATGCAGAGATCTATGGGCTGATTCAGTTTTTCCCATATACTAAAATAGGTCAGATACCAAACAGCTAATCAGCATGTGACTGGCTCCGATTTTCTGGAGGTCACATTGCAGAACAACAAAAGGGTTATAATTAAGTGCATTTAACAAAATATCAAGACTTTGCTGTGTTTTAGCATGGAATTCATACCAGGTTCTGCTCTACTTCAGCTGGGCAATACAGAAATGCTGCTGGGTTGCATTGATGAAGTCACACAACAAGCTCAAAATGTAACATGAGCCCCCTATACTTTCCAAACTTTTTCCTGCCTGTCTGGGTGGTGCATACAAATAGATTGAAAAGACTGAAGCAATGATTTCCAGGACATCAAACACTTACGGGCACATTCAGGCTCTTTCATATGACTCATGACTTTCACTCTTTCAGAAAGAAATACTTCTGAAGTGCCAAAAGAACAAGCTCTATCCTGAGAAAACTCAGAATGCTTCCCTAGGGCAGGAGAGGATTTAAGCTGCAGAGCTTCTCCTACAAGGGTTGTATGTGGGAAAAAAGAGCAAAATGACTGAGCAAAATGAGCAGATAGGAAATCATCTCTGTAGCAGAAAGAGCTGAAGTTTCTGGCTTTTTCATGTGGTAAATGCTCTTACCAGCCCAAACTGTGCTTTTCTAAACCTTATTCTAAATAGTGGTGTATTTATATAATATATATGCAGGTGCACATTTGTGTGTGACCAGGGAAGCACAGACAGTCTAAGCAAAACCGGCAGCGAGAAAGAAACCTGCAAAAGCGTTCTGCGAAAGTGGTGAAGCAACTGGAGATGGAAGAGCTTGCTCTGCATGGGAACACTGATTTCATTCTGATTGCACTTTGTACCAAATAGCTGCTGAGACATAGAAAATACAAAATGAGATTTTTTTATTCCATACAAATAGTTAAGGGCAAATTTATACTGATAGCTGATTCAATTGGCAACTACAAAAACAAAACGACAACAAAAAACCCTCCAATCTCAAAACACTGGGGACTAATTTCTTCTGTTGTCCATAGTCCAGATTGCTCCAACAGGACAACAGCTACATCATGTTCATCTTGTTTCCTGAGATGGTCAAATGCTGTTGGGAAATGTGGAGAACAGGTTAAAATAGAGCCCTGGAACCGTGTGTGTGGGTTCAAGGCAGTTCTCCCACCAATGCTAGTGAGAGGCTGGCACACAGATATCAGATGGAATATAGCTTTCATCTGTTAATTAGCCTTTTGTCAGCTATTTGAGCTAATTTCCATAGTCAAACCCAGCGGGGGGAAGGGATAGCCTTGAGGAAATACATTCAGCTTTTAGAGCAGTCACTGCTGATTCTTTTTCTTCCTTCAGTCTCTATTGCTTCTTTCTCCTCCCCGTGAACCCTCACATCTTCCCTTGCACACTTCCATGGGAAGGGCCAATCACTGACATCTCCCAATTCGTCCTTGGGCTTCTCCACTTTTCCTGCTTCCCCTACTCAATTGTTGATTACCTGATAATCTAGAAATAGTGGCAGGGAGCAGGAAGAGCTGGGCTTTTCCAGGAGGGAGGACAAGCAGGAAGCCATCAGAGACCACAGCACAGGTAGTCACACCCCCATCTAGGGCACAGTCCCATTGTGCTCAAGCAGAAGTGAGGCAGCAACTGTGACAGGGTCCTTCAACAGCCCCAGGCAAGGTAAAGTAGCAAGCTGTACCAGGGAACCCACTTGGGATGGCAGGAAGCAGAACTGATGGCAAGGCTACGGCATAGATCCAAGGTCCATCCAAAAAGCACAGCTGGGGATAGGATGGGGCTACCTGCAACACAGGTCCAGTATCCATGCAAGAAAACCCATCAGTAAGCCAGGACAGCAGGTACCAGCCACAGGTCGGAGTGCCCAGAGCCTAAGCTTAGATGTAGCTCTTGGTCCCAAAGGCAGGGTGTGTAGATGAGAGTCCCAGGTGAGGGCTATGATTGGCGTTCTTAAGCCCTGACAGAAGGTAAAGCATAATCCTGAAGCAGAACAGAGTTTTAGATTTAAGACCCCAATGAGGGGAAAATAAACAGAGATGTGCCTTAAAAGACAGCAGCGATTAGGCAAATCTCCTTTTGCTGATGGTAGCAATGCTGTCCCTCCTAAAGCAGTAGCTCTGCCCATGTACACGTGACTCAAGCTAGCAGGTTTTTGTCTTAGCCTCTGCCACCGTCTCCCAGTGTGATTCCAGACAAATAGCCTACTTGTTCCTGCTTGCTTAATGATAAAGTAGATCAATTTCTTTATCAAATGTGGGCAGCTGAGATAAGGCACAGTTACACAGGGCTGGAAGGGACCTTCCGGGTCTTTACAGACAGTCTTGGGCATAGGTGCTCCTCTTATAAACTTACGCTCCCTCTTGAAGGTAGTGAGAGATTTTCCCCCTAATTTCTCCTTTGGAAAGGGTGTTCAGTAGCCTTAGTGATTGACTGATACTTTCAAAGTCCTGCTCAAGTTGATGGAGAATTCATTTTTTCCCCAAATTATCTGAAATCTTCAGACACTTGATACAGGTCCACCTACTTGCTTCTTACCTAACCAAGCACCACAGTAAGTAGGACTTAACATTTTGTGGTCTTTTCTGGTGTGAAGTTACAGTTGCCATATTGTGGCTACCCCAAAAGCTGCTTAGGTAATCATGTCATCCATCCGTCCATCTGCTTCTCCCCCTTCCTCCCTCCCTCCTAGAAGAACTTGAGCTTAGTTAAATGTGGGGCAGGATTTGTTAGCATCACCTGCAACAACTTCTTGTGAATCACAGCTACATTTTCAAGAGAATGGGATGCTGAGGTGAATGTGATTTTGTAACAGTCAATACAAACAGGAAGCTTAAGGAAGTGTAACAACCAATGTTTATTTTTATTTGAGATGCAATGGCCAAGCCATTCAGGAGGAATTAATTTTCAGGATTTGGCTACAGAAGAGCTCTACAATCTCATTGCCTTCCCCTTGTGCGGCAGCGGGGGTTTTTTTGGTGGGGAGACTTCAGCAGATGCCTTCCATCCTTTGGTCTTTGAAGCTGGGTTCCCTCTAGTGGCATTAAGAGGAGCATCGATTGTGTCTTATTGACTGATCTTGGTCAGTAGTAGGGGCAAGGGGAAAGAGGATGCTGCAGGCTGCTACCAACTCCTGTCAGGAAACTCTGACTTGTCTTCATCCAGCTAGTAGCCTAGGACTTTTGTGTACCACAGGTTCTTTATTTTTTCCATCAGCTGTTCAGCCAGTATAGTGAGTCTAGTTGTTTCTCTGATGAGGAAGTTCCTGCAGGAGACGACAGTGTGTGTGGTAAGATACACGAATAAGTGAGGGTACTCTCTGTCTGCTGTAGGTAGCACACTGCCTGTCACTGAGAGTGCAAAGCTTCTCAGCAGTCTTAGAGGGCCTTTCCTCAGAAGACAGGAATAGGCAGTATGTGTTTGTCATGCGTTACATGAGACTGTATCTCTTGCATCATCATGCTTTTCCTTTTGGGAGGACACCCTTTCCTCTGCTTTGAGGAATATGTATTTACAGCTAGAGCCAATTTTGTGATTTGTGTTGAGAGGCAGGAGTGTTTCCTGGCACCTTCAGCACTCAGCCCCTCGCAGATGGCACCACAGCGGCTGCTCAGCCCCTTCCAGGGGGCTGATCCCCCACCAGTGGCCCCCTCCCTCCCTGCCTGTGTATGAAGAGCAGTACCTGCTATCCCTGCAAGCATTGTCATGTTTAATGTGCATCTGTGGGAGGAGCTTGCACTTTTGTGTGAAACTGTATCATCCCACCCCACCTTTTCAGCACCCCACTCCCACTGTAGTGACATCAGGCTTTGGTTGGTGATTGATTTCCCCTTAGGTCTCCCCATATAGATACTTAATTTATCTGCTTTTTCTCCCCACTCCTCCATCTCCCTTTCCAGCCAGGGCTATTGCAGGACTAGCACAGAAAATATTTCCATACCTGGACCCAACAACTACTGGAGTCTGAGCAGCATCCGCCAAAAACTGACCAGCTTTAGGGGACATCTTGTTCACAGTTTCATAGATGTAAGATGCAATTGCATCGGGAATGACCAACCAATCACGACGGTCTTTTTCAAAGATGGACTTTGAGTGCACTTCTGAGAAAGAGAAGGCAAAAACCTGTGAGGCTTCCCCCAGGCACAGTGGGAAGTGACTTGATATTCTGAGATTCATAGCTCTAGCAGCATGCAGTGGCACCTCATCACTCATTTTTGGGCATCTAGGTCATAGACCTTACATGGCAAAGTATTTACATTAGGTATGGACAGTTTTCATGCCAGGCCCCTACCGATTTGTTTCACTCTGCCAAGCGCTATATATTCATGGTCTTGAACTGTGTTATTGGGCTTCAGTCCTACTTTAGGGATGGGTTAGACTTCTCTAAGACAAGTGAGAACCTGTAGAGCTGAGTCTTGTCTCAGGCAGACAGGAAAACTTTTCAGACTTACCGGGGAAAGTGGTGCTAAGGAGCAGAATCAGAGCTATCGCCAATACCCTGGATTGCAGCATGGTTTGCAGTACGAGCTCCGCGCTCTACACCAGGAGACCTGCTGGAACCAGCATACAATGTTTTGTTTGTTTTCAGAGAAATAAAACATGTCAGATAAACACCAGATTTTTGCAACAAACCTGACAAATAAATGAAGAAGAGAACAGGAAAGATCACAGTGAATTTCCTCTGAAGGAGTGAGGAAATGATAGTGTAAAAATGAAAGTGTCCTTTTATTTGTATAGTCACAAATATCCACAATGAGTGATAGCTTTCATTGATCCAAGAAATATGTGGCAGTTAAAGCTACTTCTTTTATACAACAGCTAAAATTCCTTGTTTCAACACATGAGCAAACCACTATCACTGACAGAGGTCAGAACAGGTTTCCTTTACACGTAAGTACAACTGAAAAATTCATAATGTGGGATTTTTTGTTTGAAATTTTTTTTGGTAAATTGCTCTAAAGAACGTTGTGCTAGTGAGTGCACCACATACAATGATCATCTTAATGACCCAGTGATCTTGAGTGTTTTGTCTTGCTCTAGTTAAGGAAAGACCCAACTAGGTTCTGTTGTCTTTTTCACACTGGGATTAGTGAAGCAGATTGTAGCCCAGGCAGAACAAGTTTTCAAAAGAGATTAAATGCAAATTTTAGCCTCATCCAACCTCCTTCATGCTGTCTGTTCAAAAAGTGAGAATTAGAGGAACTCTTGAAAATTTGGTGGTTGGTACATCGAAAAAATGACATTACATCTAAACAAGCTTTTCAAACATGCTGCACTTAAAAAAGGTGTTTAGAAGTTAAGATTTTTTTAATGTCCTGAATTTTAGAAGGCTGCATCACTCAGAGCAACATGAAGAAGACATTGCAGTGTTAGGAATTGCAATGGCAAAAAAGGCTGCCATTGAATGAAAAACATGTGAATGGTTTGTTAAATCCTGTGCCAGGTAGCTACAAGTCAATGTTCCTTCTTATCCCACAGTAAGGAAATTTCCACCCATTTTTATTTCTGTCTGTGCACAGATTCCTTCCAAAAGCTACCACTCCATCTTCACTAGACACTTGCTGAGCAGTGGCAGTTGCTCCCTCACCACTCTTCCTTGATTTTAACCCTAGAGACAGTTTCTCCTGTAGACGAAAGGTATAAAATTGCTTCCCAAAAGCATAGAGGGCATCTTTCCTGCTTTAGAGCCTGTAGTCCCTGCGATGAAAGCAGCTGTGAAAAGGTTATGTATCTTCCAACACTGAAACTCTGTAATCCCTACCGTGGGCTTGACCTTCCTATGAGTGTCTTACAGAGCATCCATCCCTCAGCTTCAGTCTAGGTCACCTCAAGCACCCCTCCCCTCCTCTGTTCCTCAATATTGCCAGCTATGGAGTGCGAGAAGGGCTCACACTTTTGCTTGCAATAAGAAATGGGGGGAAATAGAAGAGCACCTCTGCTCACTTCTCCATGTCCTAGATACACCAGTCACAAAGTCCATACCACCCAGAACAGAGAGTTCAGCTCTTACCTGTGCTGCTTTTCCTCTTTCTCAGGCTGAAGCTGAGGTAGATGCTCATCTGAGACACCAGCATTCATGCAGAGCTAATATAGCAATAGCAAGGGGTCAAAGGTCATGTTTTGTTTCCCCTTTTGCTCTTTTGCAAGCAGATCCAGCTTGGTGAGACAGGCAAGAAGCTGTGGAGGACTCTGGACCTGTTATTGAGATTTGGTAATGGAGGGTCAGAATGACCTGAGCCTAAGAAATGTGGAAGGCAGCTCCTGGGTCACCAAGCCCCCTATTTTTGCAGACAACCATGTCACAGAGACACTTTCATAAGTTGACCAAATTCCACATTAACAGTAGCTAGACCTGGGCTGAATTTTGTTCCCTCTGCTCCTGTGGGAAGGCCTGTGCCATAACCTCACTACTCCAATAATTGGAATTTATTTGTGGCTAACACATCCATTTGTATTTTACCTTCCATTTCCAACAAATGCATTAACTCAATGGTGCACAGGGGTACGCATTCACCCCTCACATTTCTTCTTTCCCCATGTTCAAACCTTTTTGCACAGGCTGACAAGATGGATGTCCATCTGAGCCAGGTGCCAAAGCTTCTCCAGGGAAAATGTCCAGCCCTGGGGCTGCCAGCACAACAAAGACATGGAGCTGTTAGAGCAGGACCAGAGGAGGGCAACAAAAATGATCAGAGGGCTGCAGCACCTCTCCTGTGAGGAAAGGCTGAGATGGGGTTGTTCAGCCTGGAGAAGAGGAGGCTCTGGGGAGACCTTATTGAGGCCTTTCAATACTTAAAGGGGCTTATAAACAAAAACAGAGAAAGACTTTACCAAGGCCTGTAGTGACAGGGCAAGGGGAAACAGGTTTACACTGAAAGAGGATTGATTTAGATTGGATATGAGGAAGAAATTCTTTATGATGAGGGTGGTGAGACACTGGAATAAGTTGCCCAGAGAAGTCGTGTACCATTGGAAGTGTTCAAGATCAGGTTGGATGGGACTTTGAGCAACCTGATCTAGTGGAAGATGTCCCTGCCCAAGGCAGAGGCAGGGTAGGGGAGATGATCTTTAAAGGTACCTTCCAACTCAAACCATTCTGCGATTCTACAATAACTTCTCCCCGGGCTCCCGGTGGACTTGGTCCCAGCCAAAAAGTGACTCCATTGCCGCTGTAGGGCGTGTTGTCCCAAAGCTCAGATTCGAAGTGCCCACTGGGTCTTCAGTCAGGCCAACCATCTGTATTTGGCACTGCAACCACTGAGCACTAGGGGGATGAGCTGGAAAGGCTGCAACACTGAGCTACAAAGGGCATTAGCTAAGGGAAACAGGGAGGACATGAGGCATAAATTGTTGTGACACCCAACAGATCTACATTCTTATGCCTGCCACTTAGGTGACTGTCACATGTGGAAAGTGTGAAAAGCTCAGCCAATACCTTCATTTATCAACCAAACAAAATTTTCTGGAAGACTTTTCTTCTCATGGAGCTCAAAGTGCTTTAGAACCAAACAGAAAGCGTTCTTGTTTTACCAACACAGCAGCCAACTCAGCGATTGCTGCAGTGGGTCACATCATTAAAGTAGGCTGCCAATGATTCCCAAGACATTTTTCCACTCTCTTGAGGAATATTTATTCAAATTATCTTCTTTCTTAGAAAAACAAGGTATTCTGAAATATGAAGAACACAGGAAGTCCCTCATACAAGCAAACTGTTTCACACTTCTGTCCAAAAGATAACAAGAAATTTTTACTAATGTATAACAAGATTAATTCCAGAAGAACAACGAATTTTTGGTTCCACTTCTGGTGCAAACACTAAAAAGTGATTTATGATCTAGGAAGAACACACAAAAGCAACTGGTTGAAAGTTCTTCTATATTTTAATTTTACATTTGACAGTCATTGAAGAGAATCTACACATTTACCATCTGCTTTTACAGCTGCAGTAATATTCAGAGGACCAGTACAAGGCACATTATAGGCATTAAACTTAGCAGAAATAGCAATGAATAGTCATTACTTGTGGGGGTTAATTTAATGTAACCTCAAGTGTCATCTCTCTCCTCTGTCATGTCAACAAATGGAAGTCTCTAACCGTATTAAATGGGTGTTTTAAAATGACGTGCTGCTGGAGGTAGTAACACAGAGCGGACTCAGCTGCCTATGTAGTAATACGTACTGCTGAAGAGCTTTGCATTGTGGTTGTTATCACACAAGGTAACATCCCCCCCACTGAGGTTAGCCTTACTTTAGCTAGTGCTATCACAAATGCGATCCCAGAGATAGCAACTGGGCATTTCAGCACTTTCCACTGCCAGAGAGGCACTTGCCAAGACCAGATCAATGATTGCATAAGAAGCAGCCCTTGCCCTCCGTTCCTGGAATGGCATTCCAGAATGGCAGAGTGCTCTGCAAATAAGCAAGAAAGCCAGATATCACAAGTCCTTTCTTAATCAAAGAAAAATTACATTATTTTTTTATCTCTCTTATGAATCTCTGGTTTGTGGCAGAAAGCAGCTGACAGAAGCAGCACGGGTGTCCTTATCTGCCCTGTGTGGCATGGTTACTTACTCATTACGTTATTATTTTAAATTAGGGTAACTCCAGTGGTTATTAAGGCACTTTATTTACGACTGAAAATTCATTCTTGGAGGTAAGGTACGTTCCTTCAACTGCAAGACAGGAAGAACAAAAGTCTAGAATTGCAGTAACTCCCAAATGTGAAACATATTCAACTTCTTTGTCACAAATGGGTTGACATATGACCATCAGCTCTTTGGACGGGCTGGAAAACTAAGCACAAATAAATTACATCCTAGAAAGAACAAGGCTAGGCTATTTCCAACTGTTATTTCCTTTAGCATGTAGTGTGCAGTAGTTGAGCTGCTCAATTCTCTACTTTAAAAAGTCAAAGACTCTGTCCACATAGTTTTCTGCAGTGCTGTCACAACGGCTTTCATTTATAGCCAATTAAAAATAGAAATAAGCATTCAAAGCAGAGCCTATTTCCTTCCCACTTTTATGTCTGCTTGCAGTTGTAAAGCATGCATATATAGATTTCCTTTGTAATTATTTTGCAGCCCACCAAGTGGTGTTTTATGAACCTCAGTGGTCTGTGGACCAGTAAACCAGGTACCATTTCTGCTTCCCTGCTGGATAACTTAATCTACTTCAGTCACAATTTAAGAAGCTACAGAATTAAGACTGAGATACAAACAATTTTCCCTGAAGAGTTCTGTTTAATGTTCCTATAAATATGAACAAAGCAGCTGAAGAGGAGCTCAAGTATGATAAAGATAAAGCTCTTCAGACTTCACACAGCACAAATTGTGCAAATTCACACAATCTACAATTAGTCGCCCTAGCTCAATTATGGGGACTAGAGGAACAAATAAAGACGGAGGGCTCCTTCAGAGGATTTAGACAAAAAAGCACAACCTTTGCAGTTAAGTGTGCTTATACTACAGCACCTACTACTGCTACACAAAGCCATCCAGGTTTTCTTGCTGTGTGAGGGGTTCCTGCTCTTTGGAAAACTTCCTGGACACATGTTGGCTTATAGACACTTGAGTGTGAAGGAAGGTGAACTCTTTCCCATGCTACCATCTTGGGATCTCAAGTGATGTCTCAATAGCCTCTTCTCTTGATGGAGAAAGGGACGGCCCTTCCCTGAAACCCAGATATTTGGTCTGGGTTGAGATGACACGAAGAAGTGATCCTGCATGATGTATGGACCTACTGGAAACAAAAAGAAAATCAAATTTCAAGCCACTAATTCAGCTTCCAAGAGGAGACTCTGCAGAGCTGTGGGTACCTGCTACTAGTTGCCAGAGGACAATGCTAAAGTCAAAACAGGATGCTAGTTTTGGAAGAAGGAGGCTCATACTATTTTTTTGTCATTTTAGTCACCATTAACTCCTCTTAACTAAAAAAAGCACTAGCCCATCACAGAAGAGGGAATGCATAAAACCTTCAGCATGTCATTAAATAAGAAAAATTATTCACAGCCAGTGACTAAGAATCAGATTCAAGAGTGATACTAGCTTTGCAAATACACTTAATTCCATGTATTTCAGATGTAACTTATGGGTCACTTCACAGTTTGTGTCTAATGCAGATAAGGACTACACTCAACACAGCCTTCCTTTCTTGAATTCAAACCTTGGAGTTGCTCTTTTAGCTCCATTTTGTGCTAGCCATCAACTGCTGGCGAAGAGCTCCTCTGTCTTCAAAAAGGAGGCCTCTGGGTCTGAAACAAAGTCAACCAGAGAAGCTAGTGGGTCCTCCTGCTTTATCTCAATACAGAGGAATTAAAAATAAGCACTGTCAGCCAATAAACTGTAGGAAAACAAGCACTCTCTGTAGCAGGCTTTGGTTGACTTTGGATATCCAGCCAGAAGTATTTGCTCCAAGTGTGATGTTTCCCATCTTTGTCCAAAGAAAAGAAAAAAAGAAAGTAGGCAAAGTGAAAGCCTCTCCATGTCAAGTCTTCCAAGGGCAAACATCAGTAACTTGGACATTAAAGAACAGTAGCAAGTGTCCCATGCAGCACTGGTTGGGAAATAAGCTAGGCAATACAGTCATTGATACTGGCCAACCACTAGTACCCTCTGGGTTACAAAAATTCACAAGATGCTTCAAAAGCTCCTTGCCAACAGTTGAGTCTTCTGAATCCAAGAAGTGCCGTTTGCAAGACAGTTTCCTGTGGAAGCAGCCAGCATTCAGAGAACCTCTCTCTTTCTGGCACATTTTAAATGAAAACAGTGGATGAATCACATCAAGGAGAAATGGCAACTTGTTCTCCTTTGCAACTGGTCTCAGAACGTACAGAAATTCTGTGTTCTAGTTGCAAGGTAAGAGATGAGAAAACCTTGCAATCTAGCTACAGATCAGATGCACCACAAATGCAGAGTTGGTATAAATGTTATACCTTGCTCAGTCTCTATAGGGAGGACCAAACCTTGGTAAATTTAGCCCTTTAAGTTTACAAATAAAGTCAAGTGTGGGTTAAAGGCTAGAACAAATATCTTTTAAGGCAGTAAGGTCTAAGCTTAAAGTAGGGCAGGTTGTTTCAGTCAGCATAGGACAGATAAACTGGCAATAAACTGGAGATGTACCAGTGAGGCACAGTCAGACATTTAAGACATATTAAGGCAGTCAGACATCCTTCCAACACTGTGATCCTTCTGTCTGGGAGAGAGGGACAAAAGGGAGCAACTGCCCCAACTCTGCTGAGCAGCCAGGCAGAAGCAGCAAACATTACACATTGTGAAGACAACAGAGGGCCTTAGAAAGAAGACGCTGTGCTTCCCTGCATCAAACTCCCAGGTGACCAGATCAGATGACCTCCACGGGCCTCTTCCAACCTAAATTACTGTCCTGTGACTTTACAGTTCTGTGATCATCGGAACCATTCTCCTGTAACTGGTGTGCAAACAACCAGCTTGGACTGGGCTCCGTGCAGTGCCAGTTCACTTAAAAAAGACAATCTGTCTTTAAAGATTGGGAATATACAATTTACTAAAAAAAAATATCTGCTGTTTCCAATAGTATGTCTTCAACAGACCTCAAGAATAAAAAGGAGTTATGTATTGCTTTCATGGTCACTAAACAGATTCTTCAGAGTTACAAGTCTAAGAGGAAACTTCTTCATCTGTTTGGTTTTTTTAATGGCTGGCAGTTCAATCAAAAGCAGCCATCCCAACCTACATAGTAAAAAAAGCTAAGAGGAGTCCAGTGGGAATATTAGTTCTTTCAATACTGGCATTAAATGACAATGCTTCTTCCACTGTGGGAACTTCCTCTGTCCTGCAAGAGAAAATAAAAGAGAGTCAGGAACAAGGAAAGATGAATGGAAAGCATATACCTTCCTACCTGCTCTGAGCACCATAAGAAAACCATTCATACGTACACACATCCCAGCTGGGACTAGAACTGGACTTAATTCCAAAACTCAGAAGGAAAAATGGTAATGTGCAAAATACAGCCCTTTGAGAAGACTCCCTCCCACCTGGTAAAATTCTGCATATACGTCCTAAGAAACACTTTTTTTATTTTTAAAAAACTTCACGTTTTACGGGGGAATACACTGTCTAACTTGGAGACTAGCAATTGGATATGAAGCTTTTCACACTTAGGTTGCTACCTGAAATCTAGTCCCAGTGTAAACTGACAAGATGAACTGTGAACAATAGCTGTTCAGTGCCCATATAGTGCATGCTCAGCTCTCAGGGGTCCCAACAGGTGAGCCATCTTCTTCCACCTGGCCTGGAGGATCACACATTTCTCACCACTATAGCCATCCATGATCTTAAAGCCTATTTCATGTAGCTTTAGGCATCTTACCTGGATGCTTTCCCATATGAACCATCTTAAAAATATCATCAAAATACTACAAAAATTACATGTTGGAGATTGATAACAGGAGAATCATGCACATGTTAAAAGAAATCAGAAATAAACCAACACCAGAGAGGGTTGCAGAGGGATACTCAGTACTGCTGCCTGCTCTGGAAGTGCTTTCTCCCCAGGCAGTGCCAGAAGAACAGCTATTCTAAGGCCAACACATACATAGAGAGCCCCAGATGCCTCTAGGTGGGGACAGGAATGAGAGGGTGTAGTATGTGACCTGGTGTGGGACACAATAGGTGGACAATAGGTAGGACACAATTTACTAGAGTGTTCACTTAGCTCCTGAGCACACTTAATAGCCATGCAACACATGTCTGAAGGCAAGGAATTCAGCAGCCTCTTCAAAACCAAGCAGCGCAGGGCACCTAGTGCTCCTTGCCCTCCATTTGAAAGACTGTGGAAAGACTGCAGAAAGTACCAACCATTCACTCTCACTCCCCAAAACCCAGCTCTTCCCTTAGACAGGAAAGCAAAAAGGCAGCCAACTTACCGAGCGTGGCCCTGCTTTGCCTTTGCGTTTCTTGTCCTGACCTGCGATGACTTCTAATGAGCGATAACTTGGGGGTTTATCTTCTGGCCATTCCCGAGATTGGTGCCACTGCCTGCGGTTTGTTGCTGGGAGATGGACTTGCTCTTCTGAGGAGCTCCACGACCCCCGGCGAGAAGGGGGAGAGTAGCTGTGCTGCCGCTGACCTGAGTTATTGCTCCTCCTGCTGTGGTGCTGGTAGTCTCGCCTCCCTGTGGGTTCCTGTTTCCAGCCACGATGGTGGCTGGAAGGGTCCTTAGCCTCCTCTGGATAGAAGCTGCTGCTGCTGCTGCTGCTCTTCCCCCTCTCAGCCTGGCATGGGGGTGTCAGATCTCGTCTGGAGTGCTGGGGCCTGTCGTCGTAGCCGCCTGTCCTCTGCCTCTGAGGATGGTCCTCTCGCTGCCTGTCCCACGGGTCCTGACTGTAGCTGGAATGAGAATCCACACTGGAAGGCAAGGGACCCCTCCAGTTTTCCCTCCTGTCCTCTGCTGCAGTGTCCGAGGGTCTGGGGGTGCGAGCAGCTCTCTGTGGCCGTGAGGAGTTGCTGCTCCCGTGGATAGAGGAGATGTGATTCGTGAGAGGTGGCATGATCTCCGAGCCCAGGGAGGACAGTAGGCTGGGCTGCACAGCCTGCCGCTGGTGGGATGGTGGCCGAAGCTGCTGCATGTTAAGGTTTTGGATTTCAGACTCCAGATAGTCCAAAACACCCTTGTTAGGGTAAAGCTGAGCTTGTGGCTGCACCAGTGGAAGACTGTTCTGCAGAGACACATCTAAGGATAAAAGCACAGGAAAACACAGCAAGTCAAGGGAAAACAATAAAGAGTAGGCCTTTCTGCACTACTGATCCTAGCTGAGTCCCTTCTGAGCCTCTCTTTTCCTGCTCCTCCTTCCTGCAGGAAGAGTCTCAAGTGCCACAACCAGCACATCTAGACCACACAAGGTAAGGTGCAAAGAGCAGTAACTAGTAAGTTGTAACATGATCTGTTTTAGGCAGTCATCCAGCACACCTGGAAATATAGTTTATGTGTTTAGAAAGAGGAACATTTTATTCCTACAGCATTGATGCCAAATTTCATTTAAAAAAAAAAAATCAGAGAAAGTTCATAGTGTTTATTCTTGTATCTCACTGAACTGGAAGAATTACGAACTAATATTGCAAAAGAAAAATAAATTTATATATATATGCACACATACACACACATACACACACATAGAGATAGATATAAGAGATGGAGAAGTTCCTTCACTAGGAGACTGGTCTAGTTCTGGAACCCAGAGAAGTCCTGGAATCTCCATTCTTGCAGGTTTCCAAAACTCATGGCTAGACAAAGCCACAGTTAATGAGACTGAGGTTGGTGACAGTCCTGCTTTGGGCAAGAGGTAGGACTAGATGACCTTAAAGGTCCCTTCTACCCAACATCTCTAAGAAGCTGACCTAAAACAAATTTAAAGGAAACTGGATCAAAGAAGATTCATGCCTGTGAAAACACAGGCTAAGAAATTGCCTGAGGAACTTACTTGCCCATTTTCTGCCAGGAAGCATGTGGATTTCCTTGAGAAGACTCAATACATGCTATCTTAAATCATGGTGGGTCAGTCACCAGATCTTCCTAAGGAAAACTGGTGCCCTGGCAAGGAAAACTGGTAACTGAAAAAAATAACTAGCAGGCTACAACAGTATATAATCAAACATATTGAATCTAGCATTTACAATGTCCACAAACTGTTTCTTCAAACAACAGTTAAGACTCATCAGACACAGTGTAAATCTGCGACTGCTGTATAGTGATGAAAAGCTAATTTCAGATGAAAAATATATTAGTTATCTGAGAAGTCATTATGTTGAATTCCCCTGTTTTCCTTGGGCAATTAAATAATATTACTGGTAATAAGTTATTTTATTACTTATTTCTCTAGGACTTCAGAGACTCCGTCTTCTCTACTCCATTAAAGTTACAAATAAATACCACTGAGATTCTAGGGCAGAACAATTGAAAAAATTATTCCTGGCTCATTAAAGAGTCCTCCATTTTTTTGCTGTGTGCAGGCTAGATCTATTGCACAGAAGGCAGTTTGCCCTTAAACATTTGAAAACTAGACATTTGATAAGAACTCAAACAAACTGTACCTCATTTGTCATGTCAATTTTGGCTATAAGGAGTTGACCGTGACCAGCACAGCAGAACAAAGAGACAGTACCCTTCTCTACCACATCAAGCGAGATAAGCTGGGTATATTTACCCTGCAGTTGCTCGGGCGTAGCACAGATATACCTTAGTTAGCATTAAACTACTTCACCCAGCACTGAGCTTAACAAGACACTTCAGATGGACAGGCTGATTTATCCACCCAGACATACAAGTCTGTTGTACGCTGCAGGTGTAGCAGAGCTGTCATGATAGGACAGGCAGTCATGGGAGGAACATCTTTCTCTCATTTGTAGAAGAAAGGCTAAAGCCTCATGGCTGAACCTTCCTCAGAGAGCACCTGTTTCTCATCCTGATTTCCCTCTGAAATGATGCCCATGGTCTCACCTTGTTGCAGTAGGGGGTTCAGCTGATAAGAGGAAAGTTGTGAGTGCTTGTCACCCCCTCCATAGAACATGTGCGGTGACATCCAGGGTGCAAGTGCCTGAGCCCGCTTCAAGAACCGATGCCGTTCCAGTACTGTAAAAGAAGAAAAAGAAGAAAACTTGCAGTAGCTATCCAGAGAGCACAGTTTGCAGACCACATGCCATTTTGCTTGATAGACTGTAGCCTTTAGATGTGATCAGATATAGGAAATTCACAGAATAAAAAGCTCTCTCCACCCTATGACAAAGGTAAAATAGAGCACAGGAAATTCCAATACAAAGTTGCACAGCTTCAAAAAGATACCTAAAACAGAAGAAAAGGGTTACTGCCTGACATTCAGGGTACAGTTCCAGCAGCTAGGAACAAATGGCACTATGAGAAAGTACACAGCACATAACCAAATGCAACACTTCTACCTGCCTTATCATTATGAGTACTGTTGCAGAAAGGTAGGAAATAATGTTTCATACAGCAAGACATACCACACTGTTCTCTCTCTTAAAACTCTTTTAGCTTATCACTGGTCCTTTCCCCATTTTTTTCCTGATTTACAGTTAAATGAGACCTTTTTTTTTGCCACCTCTGTAGGCTCTGCCAGATCCCATTTTCCGCACCATGCTCCATCATTTCCTCTCTGTTCCACAGACAGAGCACTCTGAGATGCACTGTCCAGCTTCTCCCTTCTCTAGGGAGCTGGTCTGCCAGCTCTTCCTCTAGTCTTTTCCAGGGAGAAGCTGCTCTTATAGCTTCTCTAGTCTTTCAACCACTCATGTTGTCTCCCTCTATAATTCACCTCAGCATGACTGCTAAAATTAAATTCCTTACGACAGTGTGGTCAAACTGGTGAACAAACTGAGTTTCCTGTTCTCAACAGCAATTTCCAGTGTGCCAAAAGAGCAAACTCAGTGGCAATTTCTCTCACGTACCGCTTTTCCACTACTGCTAACTTCAGACCCCTACTCATGAGGTCAGGCTCCAATTCCACCTCACTTTTATGAGTGCTTCCATCTCACCTCCTTGCACAGACCACCTCACCATCCCTGTCTTTAAAACCATTGCTCACTGCTGCTCCTTTTTGGGAATACCTAAAAACATCTTACAGACACTTATTTCTTCTATCACAGACAATCAAAACTTAAAGTTTACGAGCAAGTAAATTCTGCAAGCCCCAGACCTTACAAAGCCTGACTCTGCACGGTTTGTCTGTCATTACTGGGTGAAGCTTTTCTGCAACAGGGTCTTTGCAACATTTCTCTTCTACAACTTCTCTGGAGTTTCAGAAGTGGTAGGCTTTTACTGCAGCCTCTTCTCTGGTCAGGCGTGAACAGAACATTCCTGGCTATGCAGTTCAGGAGGCAGATAGGAATGTAATTCCCTTTGAGACTTCCACACCTCTGATAAATCTGGACAAAACTGGTTGATGAAATTAAAAGCTATTGTAGGTAAAGGGACAGCGGATAGAGAGACAGGCTGACTGCATATGCAGTCTTCTTTAAGAAACCAGACTACAGCTAAGCTCCAATTAATTCATCTGCAGCAGGCAGCATTTAGACTGCATGCTCTTTGGGCTCTCCATTTCAGGTAGCACTCCAGTTATTAAACATGTCCTCCTTTAGCTGTTTCACTGAATTTATAGAGAGCACCACTTGCAGCAAAACAGGGACTGACCATGCCTCTCAACACAAAGGGAAGGCCCTTTCCCCATAGTTCATGCAGCTCCACTTTGTTCTCTACTCTAACCCCCCTCCCGCTCCCCAGCCTGGCTCCAACCAAAGTGAACTACAAAGCTGGAAACTTCAGGGGTTTTAATCCTAATACTCTGCTTTTTCTTCAAATCTGTGTGGCCTGATGTAGCAGCTTTCAAGCATTTTATGTCAAACTTGCTTCATTATTTTTTTTCCCCAAGGGATCTTCAAACTAAGAAGAAGAGAGAAAGGAAAATGAAAAAGGATTAAAAGAACAGAAAGGCTTTCTCTCTTCCTCTCCTGTTCCTCCAGTTATCAGCTTGAGAATGTCCTAGAACCTGCTGAGATCACATTCCTGGGTCTTGACCACAGTTTTTACCTGAGGAGTAAAAGGCCCAGCAGCTGTGCCCATACCTACTTAAGGTTCACCTCCTTAGGGTATGAAGGTGGTCACAAGGACCAAAATCATCCTGTCCCTGTAATTCTTTGGTCTCTCCCTACAGCAGAACAAATGCAGAATTACCGTTGGACTTCCTTCACTACCTTCATCCTGTCTTCCTTCCCCATATACTTTGACTTCCAGTTTGAAACTGATACATGCTCTGAGTGCCCACCTGTAAAATGGAAGCAAAGTTACAGATCTCTTTTTAAAGTGAACATATTTATCTGAGGGAGGTCAGATTCACCTTATTTCCAAAACTCACACCTGCTATAAAACTTTGGCAGAATGTCGTGTCACTCCCTCCACTTACTCCCTGCTGAGAAAGGTTGCTCTTTACCTCTGACAGACTTAGCAGCTGCTGGGCCAATTATTAAAAAAAAATTATTTCCAACCTAGTCAGACCCAGGTGCAAGTATATTTTATTTTGCACCAATTCATTAGTGGAAGAAGTCCACAGCAGAAAAGGAATGAATAAGAACAGAAGGAGGTCATACGGATATTTATCCTGGTGGGCTTTTCTCAGAGGTTTCCATGGGGAATGTAATTGACTTGCTCCTGGCCCGTGTTTAATATTTCTGTACACCAATTCTGAATTACTCAAACAATGCACTTCTTTTATTACTAAGTTCAAAATCATGTTAGCTCATGACCTCAGAACACCCAGAATTACCTTGCCTCAATGGCATCTATGACTGTTCAGCAGATCTAGGCTACCCTCTAGTGGCCAATTGGGAATTCTTCCAATTCCAATTCTTCCAATTGGGAAGAAATCGCCTGTACTTGCCTTGCACTGTAACTTGTAAGACTCAGTTAAGGATTTCTGCCTTGTCTTCACCTGTGTGGAACTGTTATACTTCAGGACTATTTTTTAAGATGCCCCGTTTGTACCTTCTGGTGGGTTTTAGGGTCTCCAGTTCATTTCCTGGAGTGCAAAACAGTATGTTGGAGGCAAGATGAAGAGACGATGCACTAGAGGAGAGGAGCTGGCACAAGGAACCCTTGAAAAGTGGATTAAAAGGGCAGGCAGCTGGGATGGAAATTACAGCCACAGAATCCAGCAGCCAGCTAAGGAGGCTGGACTCATTTGTACCTTCTCTCATAGGCAGGGAGAGGTTTTGGGAACCCTCTAAGAATCCCTCCTCCCTATCCTCAACAGGAGGCAGGAAAAACAGCAGCAGCAGTCTGGAGTGTGCCATCGTCTCCTGCAGCACAGAAAACCAAAAAAGAACTCACACATATTCTGAAGCTCTTTTTTTGATGAGAACTAGGAAGTCTGGAGGTGCGAGTCTTTCATCTCCATCACCTCTCTCTCCCTCCATGGAAACAATTTTTTCTGCCAAATTTCCATAGCCTTCTCAACACCACACATTTTACTTGACAGCTTGTAAAGCCCTCAGAAAGTGTTTTGTTTTGTTTTGTTTTGCTCTAAGCAAATGAGAGGGATGCTCTGTTCAACCTTTGCAAGGTCTAAGCAAAAAATCTATAATGTGCAAGACTGGCAAACGGGTAACAATGGACAAGGAGAAGGCTGAAGTACTTAAAAACTTTTTTGCTTCACTGGCAAGCTCTCTTACTACACCTCTCGAGAGGATGGATTGCAAGGCAGGGATTGGAGGAGCAAAGTCTCTCCCACTGTAAGAGAAGACCAGCTTCATGACCACCTGAGGAACATGAATATACATAGGTCTATGGGACATGATGAGATGCATCTCGGAGTCCTGCAGAAATTGGTTGATGTAGTTGCCAAGCCACTCTTCATGATACTTGAAAAGCCATGGCAGGCAGGTGACGTCCTTGATGACTGGAAAAAGGGAAACAGTGAACCCATTTTCAACCTGTTGGCTTCACCTCTGTACCTGGAAAGACCACAGAACAGACTCTCCTAGAAGCTCTGCTAAAGCACATGGAGGTCAAGGAGGTGATTCAAGACAGCCAGCATGGCTTCACCAAGGGCAAGTTTTGCCCGACCAACCTAGTGGCCTTCTATGATGAAGGGACTACATCAGTGGACAAGGGTAGAGCAATGGATGTCATCTATCTGGACTTCAGTAAGGTCTTTGACACAGTCCCCCACAACATCCTTCTCTAAATTTCAGAGATATGGATTTGATAGGTGGATAAGGAATTGGTTCAGTGGTCCCATCCAGAGGGTAATAGTCAACGGCAATATCTAGATCGAGATGGGTGACAAGTGGTGTCCCTCAGGGGTCCATATTAGGACCAGTAGTGTTTAATATCTTAATCATTTACATAGAAAGTGGGATTGAGCGCACCCTCAGCAAGTTTGCAGATGACACCAAGCTGACTGGTGTGGTTAACATGCCTAAGGGACAGGATGCCATCCAGAGGGACCTGAACAAGCTCAAGAACTGGGCCCATGTGAACCTCATGAGGTTCAACAAGGCCAAATGCAAGGTCCTGCACCTGAGTCATGGCAACCCCCAGTATCAATACAGGCTGGGGGACAAAGGGATTGAGACAGTCATGCAGAGGAAGACTTGGGGGTACTAGTGGATAGAAAGCTGGACATGAGCCAGCAATGCGTGCTTGCAGCCCAGAAAGCCAACTGTATCCAGGGCTGCATCCAAAGAAGCATGGCCAGCAGGTCAAGAGAGGTGATTTTGCCCCTCTACCCTGCTCTCATGAGACCCCACCTGGAGTAGTGTGTCCAGCTCTGGAACACCCAGCATAGGAAAGAGCTGTTGGAACAGGTCCAGAGGAGGGCCACAAAAATGATCTGAGGGCTGAAGCACCTCTCCTGTGAAGAAAGGCTGAGAGTGTTGGGGTTGTTCTGCCTGGAGAAGACAAGGCTCTGGGGAGACCTTTTAACAGCCTTTCAGTACTTAAATGGGGACTATAAGAAAGATGGGACAAACTTTTTAGCAGGGTCTGCTGCAATAGGACAAGGGGTAATGGTTTTAAACTAAAAGAGAGTTGATTTAGACTAGATACAAGGAAGACTTGTTTTCACAATGAGAGTGGTGAAACACTGGAACAGGTTGCCCAGAGAGGTGGTAGATGCCTCATCCCTGGAGACATTCAAGCTCAGATTGTACAGGGCTCTGGGCAACCTGATCTGGATGAAAATGTCCCTGCCCATAGCAGGCGAGGGATGGACTAGATGACCTTTAAAGGTCCCTTCCAACCCAAACTATTCCATGATTCTAAAACTCTCACAGTTACTAACACTAACAGCTATTTTGCAGGTAAAGAGAAACCAGAAACACAGCTCCTTGTTCATAAATCCTCTACTTGTAGCATCTGGGGAAGAAGCTGGTGATTTCAGTGATAAATAAATGTATTTGTTGCATTCTGTTCCTGTCAGATTGTGTAAGCTGCAGGGGGGCTATTCCACGTTGTGCTGCTACCTAAGTTTCAGTTACAGGAACACACAGGTTTCATGTAGCCAAATTCAAATGCTGGCCTTATTAAGAGAACAGAGTCTGGCTGCAGAATCTTTACTACTGCTAAAAACTATTCACAACAAAACTTATCTTGACCCTCAAAACCTCAGAATGCATTTACAGGTTGACTACCAAGACAGACCATCTTTCTCCTTTCCTTCTTCTCACTTTCTTCCCTAAAGGAAAAAAAACAAAACACCAACCTTTTTCTAGTGGAAGGAGCAGCTCTGAAAATAACATGAAGATAGAAAATTCCAATTTTTACATAATTACCTTTCAGAGCAACACACTTGAAGGAAGGTTAGGCCAGTTTAGAGACTAGTACCAAGGCATTTGCTTCGCTTCCTCACATGCACAGGCATGTGAACTACAAGACAGGGAAGAAAAGTCCTGAGCTACTCATACAAGGGAGCTGATCGTGCCCTGGAAGTCATGAGAGAAGTTGGTAGCAAGGTGAGAGGGAAGAGAAACTTCTGAAAGTAGGACACAGAGGAGAAACATGGGCTCCATGTATCCTAGCTCCCCTCCTCTAAACTCAAATAAGCTGGTCACAGAGGTCACGTTGGTGAAAGAAATGTCTCAGTCTGTATGGATGCTGAATGGAAGGGCAAAAGTGGAGCTCAGCAAGCTCTCAGTCAAGCTTTCATCTTGACAGAAGCCATAAATGGATGCACATCTGCTTGAACCTCACCTTCCTCATTACAGCAGCACCGGGTTGGGCAGCAGACACATCGGATGTGGCAGCAGCAATGCTGGGGGCAGCACTGGCACCAGCATACTCCAATCAGCAGGAGGAGGATGAGGCCACCAAGAATGATGAGGAGTACTGTAAGCCAGTCTATGGGAAAAACAGAGAGAAAGAGGATCCCGATGTACCTGGGCATAGTAAGTTAATGAGCACCTCTCCACTGCTGGAGACATCTTGGCATGGGGAGGAAGAGAACAGAAGGAAATAGTTGCCAACCAGGCAACAAACCACAGGCACTTACGAAGAACGATCAGCTTAACTTCTTTGTCCGGATCACCTGAGGTATCTCCTGATGCTTCCACAGTGCAGTAGTACATGCCATGGTCCCACCACATGACTTCACTGATGACAAGGTCAGCCCCTGTGGGAGAGGGACTGAGAGGTCAGCAGGCTATTTGGGACTGACAGACACTACTTTCAGGCCACCCTCTAAAAGGGTCCTCTGTCTGCAGGTGACATACACTACTGCATCTCCCCTCTTCCCAAGCATAGCCATTATCCTCAAACAATCCCACCTGAGTCCACCGAGAACTCCTGGAAAGAGCATCAACTGCCAGTCCCTTTTTTCTTTGTGTTGCTGGAAGGTAATGCTACTTAGAAGCAGGACTAGTTCTGTGTGGAGTGAAATAACCAGCATGCTGCTGGGTGATGGATGTTAACCACTGCTGCCAACCCTACTGGTTTTGGAACACAGTCATTAGCCATGTTTATGTTTCTCTTCACTTGGCAAACCCTGATATCAGATAGTTACTGAGTTCACTCCCTGCCTGGGAGGTCAAGTCACTTACGGTTCTGAATGGTGATCTTTCGTTGCTGGTAGTCGATACCCAGCACAGGCTCCTTCTGCCCGTATTTCTGGATGACAACGCGCACCTTTCGCTGGCTGTCATTGCAGTCGTCAGCTGGGTCCTGGCCAAGAGCTAAACCAGCTTGGTATGCTACAAACACACATCATCAAATTAGATGCCAAAAGTTATTTCAGAGGACCAATTTCTATCCTTTTGTGAGCAGCAGAGAAACTTGTAAATGCACATGTGCATTTCCTTTGGTTTAGTAATACAAAGCATGGCTTCAAATCATCAAGGACAAGTTGCATCGGAGTACTCAAATGCAAACAGAGGTAGAGCCACAGGAATGGCAGAGATTTTGAGAATGCAGGAGCTGCAGTGGAGATTCCTCCTGTACTCACAACTGCAAGAACAACAGTAGAAAGAAGCTAATTTTGGTAGAGAACCCACAGATTTAATGGAGGGCTAGAGGCAATTTCTGTCTGATACTGTTATGACAGATTCACAATATAAACTATTTTCCAGTAATTTGGAGCTGAGATTTGGGGACACAATTGACACAGTCAGTCAGCACTGTCTTTAAAGGGATTGCAATTAAGAGAGGAGAGGACAAAGCCTGTCAAAGGCTCCTCCCTTGCTGTATCTATAATGGATCATGAAGAGTAGATCCAACTAAGCAAATACCGTAACCTTCATGCTTTCTGTCCCTGTTGGGGGCTATTAGCTCGAGACTGGGCTCAAAGCACTCACATTATGCTGGGATCACCTGAGCCAGGGACTCACCTGCTTGTGGACTAGGCTGTAGAGCACTTGGTAACATGCCTACCTAACTCATTCAGACAGCATAAAGGAGAGTCTGGGCGCCAAGACACCAAACAAGTCCAGGCTTCCCACTCTGAGCTCAGCCTTAGGTGTGCAGTTAAGCTAAGGTTGGTCAGCTTAAACGTACTGCAGGGTTTATAAAGAGTAGAGTAGAACAGAATAATTTCAGTTGGAAGGGCCCTACAATGATCATCTAGTCCAACTGTTTGACCACTTCAGGGGTGACCAAAAGTTAAAGTCCATTGTCCAAATGCCTCTTAAACACTGACAGGCTTGGGACATAGACCACCTCTCTAGGAAGCCTGTTCCAGTATTTGACAACTCTCTTGGTCAAAAAATGCTTCCTAATGTCCAGTCTGAACCTCCCCTGGTGCAGCCTTGAACCATTCCCACACATCCTATCACTGTATCCCAGGGAGAAGAGCTCAGCATCATCCTCTCCACCTCCCCTAAAGAAGCTGTAAAGATTGATGAGATCACCCCTCAGCCCAAAGTCCTTAGCTGCTCCTCACGGGACATTCCTTCCAGCCATATCACCAGCTTTGTTGCCCTCCTTTGGAAGCATTCCAGGACCTTCACATCCTTCTTAAATTGTGGGGCACAGAACTGCACACACTGCTCAAGGTGAGGCTGCACCAACACTAAATATAGTTGGATCATCACCTCTTTTGTACAGCTGGTTATATAGAGTTTGATTCACCCCAAGATGCAGTTTGCATACCACCTTAGGAACCATCTTAAACACTTCTGAATTAAGGCTGCGTAGACCAGAATGCCTGCCCATGAAGTATGTCCACCAGTATGGGACATTATTGCTTAGAAGTCTTTCTGCACTCCAAAATGCATGTGTTTCTTCTGCTTCTTAAAATCAGTTAACACCTGGTCACAGGTATCTAGCTCCAACCACTGGGTCCCCCATGGAATCATGAAGTCCACTTGTTGCAGGGCCTTCGCTTTCAAGCATGCTGAAGCATAAGGCGGGGCTGCCAAGATTGACATGTGTCAAACATGGCTGAGTCTCTCTGCCTTCTGAGTTGATGGAGGACAAATGAACTACTTTGGCTGGGATTTCTACAGCATCATATCATAAAAACTTGACATTGCAAAGGAAATCACAGACATGACCTATTTTTTCCTTGAAACACAACAAAATACCACCACCTGACCTGGTTTGTGGGCAGGAAGAGGTCAAAAGCCTGTATTCACCAGTAAGTCTATCTTCCCCTTCCTTTCCATTAGGAGAGGGATTCCTTAGAGTTCAAGCCTGACACTTACAGGCTGAGTAGTAGTCAAAGACGGGGTCCTTGCAGAAGGACTTGAAGCGCCAGGTCACAACCACGTCCTGCAGCTGTGCTGAGGTGCTATAGTCACACTTGAGGATAACAGTGGCAAATAAGGTAGTATAACGTTCAGCATCCTGCACTGTCACCAGGAGGGAGAGGCAACCTGCAAACAA